GACTTTGATGTTTGAAAAGCACAATCTGATGCCACAACTGCATTTTTAATGCAAGCCACCCAATCTTGTCAGATCACTAAAGAGTGCATGATTTTTCTCTTGAAAGGTACGTTGTCATCCTTTATGGCCGAACACGTGACAGAAGTCTAAATTGATGCCAGAAAGCAACTGTTAGCCCAGAAAGGAAAGTCTTTCAAATCTATTCCACCTGCCAGTCCTGTTGGATCATACCAAACATGCTTGCTGCTAGGGACTGCACTGCTGGGGCCATGCTTTAAAATCCAAGCCCACAAGATTGGGGTTCAGTCTAGATACAGACAACTGACGAGTGTTAGCCATACTGGACATCTCTTGCTGATGTTGCCAAGTCGTGTAGAGAGCTTATTAAAAGCTGTTCTTGAAGTCATTCATGCTCTAAATCCGACCTTGGCTGTACATCTTACAGCTTTGGTGATCAAAAACGCCTAATCTTTATTATGCAAATTTTACTTCCGGTTTAAAATGGCCGCTATTCAAAAAATCCCCTTAATTAGAGAAAATGTTTTTTGTCCTTTTTGTACTATATCAGAATCTCTTAACATAATTAAAACTCAGCAACTGTCTGTGTTTAATCATTTAAACATGTATTGTGATTGATTTATTACCATTTGAAATTTTACTTCCGGTTCAAAATGGCCGCCATTTTKAAAAATCCCCGTAATTGCCGACTGCATCGATTTTTGCGTTGGCACWATATCAGAATCGATTCCTGGCATTCAAAGACATATTTTGACAGAGTGTCAYGATTTTAACCTGAAAGTSAACAATTGCCTTACCTATCCGCCTAACTTATTAGTATATCCCTTAAACTTCTACTCCGGTCTTGATCGAGAATGAACTTACAGACTGACATGGGAGGGGTAGGGAGGTCAGTAGTAATCTTTGTACCACCTATACTCCACGCCCCAGTAAAATTTGTTTCTTAACTGTTTTACAGGGGATGGGAAACTGAGTCATCACGAATTTATTGAACTCATGAAAAATCGACAAAAGCGAGGATTCAGGGTGAGAGCAATTTAGCTTTATGTTATTACTATCGCCTTTAGTTATGTATTTCCGCTTTAGTGAAGTACTCTTGCAGATGATAAATATTGAGCTCGGTTTTTATCCGCCGGGAGTTCGTACACGCGCGATACTTTGCTAAATCAAGTACTTAAAATGATAATAATAATAGTATATTTATGATGATGATGGGCATGCTTGTTGATGCATGTCAGTGATGATGATGATAATGGTAATCATAACTAGTGACAGGTAACGATCACCTTCAGGGTTGATATACATATAATATATAATTATGATGATGATGATGAGCATGCTGGTGATGATGATAATGGTAATCATAATTACTGACAGGTAACGATTTCTATGTACATTAAAACCGTTTTTCCTATCGATAGACACCGTCAGCGGACAAACCAGGATGGGAAGGATTCAAAGCCTGTGTAAAAAAGGAAATTGCAAACTAATCACGTTAATTGAAATCAAGTTGAGACCAGAAGAATATAATTTACACTCTTTCGATTTCCCCTGATAAATTGTATTCCTTCTTCGTATGCAAAAGAATCGACCCTGCAGGTGATCTTGCGTAAAGACGTTTGAAAGTCTTAGTCCAAACAACTGCGAATTTTTTGGGACTAAGAAGGTATTTGTTATGCAATATCTGAAGGATTTGTTAAGACTTAGAATAAGAAACTGAAAAGAAATTAAATTAAGAGTAGTTTGAGGATACCTTGAAGAATCTACACGGATTAGGCGGACCATAATATCCAGGAAATCCAAATAATTCACAAATGCAAGTTATGGAGGTATGACGTAGAATTCCGCCTTACGGCCACCCGGTTAATACGGGCACTTTTTGTTTTTCCTTCGATGTCCGGATTAAGGAGGTTCCAATGTTCTTTACATCTGTACATTGATTTGAGATACGCATGCGCAGACATTTAACCGCGTTGCTGCTTATTCCGTCATTTTTTATGCGTTTTCGTGGCATTTCATTCCAGCAGTCAGTATAGATCCCTGTGTCAGTATAAATTGACGCACGTTTGTTAAAGAGCTCCAAGCTTTATTGCTGTATTTTAGTAGTATTTGTATTTATAAGTTATTTGAAAACATGCAATTTGTGCGACAACAACATGTAATCTGAATAACGTTAATAAATTTCATTGTATATTATGTGTGATAAAGGGTCATGTGGAATGGATATTTTGTGGAATGGGTTCTTGCCAACTTCGGATAGTTTACCGAGTTATTTTTATACTAAAAAAAAATTATTGCTTGTAAAGTCGAATAACACTTCGAAATTTGTACAATGCAATAATCCCATATGAAATACAACTCGAGCTGCGGCCTGTACAGTCGTGTTTTTAGTTTTTTTTCTTCAGAGAAAACGGAAGACGTTTGGACTCACGCGCTAAATTTAAAAGCTGGCTGAGCATGAACTCTAACTGAAACATACACTTATACACACACTTAAATATCGGTCAAGTTTTGTTTCACGGGTTTAAAGTGAAGTCATTAAAGCCGTGAAATAAAATTTAACTATTAAAGTGTGATAGTCAAATAGAARCAAAAGCAACCAATGTAACTAGAGCGTAACAAGGACCCTTTTAAGGTATTTTTTTATCATGTGATAGTTATCTCGGAGTCATCCGCCTAACTAACTAACTAACTGATAGTAGGGTAATTCACTCGAAATCGTCTCAATGATGACATCACTTCGTACACAGATCGTAAAACAGTGTGAGATTCCGAAGCCATATTTGTCACTTGGAAAAGAAAGGTATTTTATACATAGTGTCCTCGTTCTAGGGCCTTGGCAGGATCGAGTGAATAGTGCTCAAAAGCGCAATAGAGTGCATTTCTGATATTCAAGACGAAATWGCACAAATTGCAATAATTAGACAATAGAGACAAAGGATTCCACACTAATATGCCTAATTTAGTTTGCAAACCATATCTTATGATATAAAAATCACTCTGGGATAGCATTATTTTAGGAACGGATTCCTGCAAACTTTTGGTTGTTTACCAAGTTATATTTTCATCTTTAAAATAATAGAATTATTCCTTGGAGCTGACTAACATTTCAATTAATTTAATTTAATTATAACGCAATGTAATAGTCACACGTAATAATGAAATACAATTCGAGTCGCGGCGGCCTGTATTGTGGCCGTGTCACTGAAGGAATGCAATGAATTGTGTTTTCTGTTCAGCGAAAACGGAAGACGTTTGSCCTTGATACATTAAGCTGACTGAYCTCGAACTGAAATTCAGTACAAACTGAATGCTTCTGATACCAACATTTGATTAAATTTTGTTGCTGCACTCAAACCGAACCTCTTCACGCGCATAATCGGCGCGAAGCCCGGCGCGAAGCTGCAGCTAAATTTCAAGCATCCTCGACGACAATCTCGTTGCAAAAATCGCAAGTGTAAACTGGCTTTTACATTATTTGAATTTTTACTGTGATGACGTGTACTATGATTTTTATTTACTATGATTTTCCGTTAAAATACAGTTTTCTATGTTTGGACGATTCGGGTTAATGATTTGAGTTGCGCGCAAAGATTTTTTGTGCACATCGCGTGAAAACAAAGAACACGGGATTTCACGCAAAAGTAGTTAAGTTAACATTGTTTATCTTGAAGTGAGTGCACTGACTTCGAAAATAACGATAAACCAAAAAGGGCTGTTTTTACGCAAAGGATTCAATCGTATTTTCATCATTTTTTAACGTAGTGGATTACTCCTTATTTTTCACGTTTCTCTTAGTCTTTTCAGTTGTTTTACTTTTGACTATTACACCTTGTTTCACGGGTTAATGAAAACCACACTACTTCAGCATGTTTTTTTCCCGGGCAACCTTTGATCAAAAGTTTGAGAGGAAGAGTGACTCTTCGCGCACGTGCGACATGCATAGGCATATCCGATATTTGATACTCTCATGCAGGAAACAGACGAGATCAAAATAACATGTTTAAGGATATGACAAAACAAATCGCGGAAGGTTAAATAAGGATATAAGATTAACGCAGTCAATCGTGCATTCATACGCGACGATCGAAGTGAAGCTACAACAGCAACTTCAGTCCAGCATGGATTGGAAACGGGATGTTCTTCTCTATGCAGTGGTTTTGGTAGCATTTCTTATTGCAAACTCTGGCTTGAGTATTGCTGGTGGATTGGTTTCTTGGGGGTAAGAAACATGTTGTTATATATATTAACATGAATTAAGGAACAAGTATAACTAATTGTCGGGATGACGATTTTGTGAATGTTTCCAGAATTTCCAATGAACGTACCCCTCCACCTTTTTGCTGCAAGCCGCCAGGAAGCAGCGACACTAATGTTGGTCCTCCTGTGTCGGCGATTGTATTTTTGACCATATCAGATCGAGTGGGTGGGTGGGCCATAGGCAGCCCACCTCTTGCATGCTTCATTTATGCTTTTATTTTCTATACTTTATATTATTATATTTATTCATATATGTATTGATGAATAAATGCGAAAAAAGCGAAAACACAAGCAATCTCGAGCCCAGAGTCTTCACGACTAATGTCAGCGGTATGCTGACGCCGGAAAGACTCTGGAGGAATCGACTGGATTTGCCACAGGTAGCCCAAGCACTACACTTGTCGGCTTTTCTCTGAAGGTCTTGTGGGGAAAAACGAAAAATTCAATAAAAGTAGGAAATCTTCATAAAATGAATTCAAACTCACACAATGTGTTGTTCTTAATTTATTACACATCTATGCGAAGTTTCAGCTCTCTACAGTCAAAAAAACTGTTTTTTTTCTTGATGTTGGTCCCCTAGATAATAAATATTTATTATCTAGGGGACCAACATCAAGAAAAGAAACAGTTTTTTTGACTGTAGAGAGCTGAAACTTCGCATAGATGTGTAATAAATTAAGAACAACACATTGTGTGAGTTTGAATTCATTTTATGAAGATTTCCTACTTTTATTGAATTTTTCGTTTTTCCCCACAAGACCTTCAGAGAAAAGCCGACAAGTGTAGTGCTTGGGCTACCTGTGGATTTGCGACGCTTTTCCGTCGCAAATTATGCAAATTAGGTCAATTTTGTTTTTGCCGCTTTAGAGCATCAAAATGATAAAAAAGAAGGAGGTTTAGCACACAACATAGTCAAGAAACGGTRTTTACACCTTTTTAAAAACAAAAATGTGTGAAAACATGTGTGGTTATGCGAGAAAAGGATGATTTTCTTGACTAACAGGGCGAGCGCGCGCTGGCGACTTGAAAGATTTGAAAACAATGCGCGCTCGCGTCATTTTCAACCAATCACGAATCGAGAAAAAATTGTTTCCTCCAGAGTCTCTCACGCATTGACATCCGCTGGAYGGCAAAAGTGTGGGCTCTGGGTACGAGATTGAAACACAAGAGGAAAACCGCAAGCGCGCGCTATATTTGCCTGATTTGCTTGTTGATTTACTTTGGATTTGTGGATTACCTGTGGTGCTACGTCACGATCCCGCACCTCGCGGGTCGTGTAGACCCGCGAGGCCAACCTCGTTCTCAGGGCTACGCTGCGCCCAGAGATAGGCTATCTCTGTCCGCCATTTTGAAAAAAGCGAGCAGAGTAGCCCTGGAAACGAGGTTGCCGCGAGGCAAGGGATCGTGACGTAATACCACAGGTAATCCGCAATTTTGCTAAGAGCGTGCGCCGATAACATATTTTAAAAGCGTGCGCATTCGTTCTTTTGAGTCTCTAAAGCAATAGTTGCGCGTCCTATGGGTGGGCGGCATCGAGCGTCGGGATGCTATTTCATGCGTGCGCTTATTGTCACCAGTTTCCCTATAGGACTCTGGGTATAAAAATCACAGGAAGCCCAAATAAGGTGGTTTTCAAAGATATACCACTATTTCAACTATTTCAATTTTTTGAATTTCTTTTCATCAAGCCATATTTGAGGATCGTTAAACTTTCTTTATGTGCACTTTATGGGAGTATTTTGCAACAGGAGATCGCGTGAGTTTTCAAAAGCAATTGCGCCTCGCGTATCACGTCTGACGGCGCATTTCAACTCGCTCGAATAATGGCGGTCTAAAAAATGAGAAATTTATCAGGCAAGTAATGCATGCATTGATCTCGTAAACCGCTTTGAACCGATAACTATGGGGTGTTTTTTATATTGTTTTAAAGGTATATTTTTCAAGAATTGATTCACTTACACTGGAAAAAATTGCGCGCTTTAAAGGTTGTAAATTTGATGTAAATATGATGTAAGTGTCCAAAATTCTGTAAATTTAATGGAAATGATTTACATCAAATTTACAGAATTTTGGACACTTACATCATTTTACATCAAATTTACAACCTTTAAAGCGAGCGATTTTTTCCAG